CTCTTCCTTGGAATGGTTTTTGCTGTAGCAGAGCACGTTTTGCCAGTATGCCACGTGTGTTGTGCATATGGGCAAAATGTCATAACCTGGCTGGTTGCCAGGCCAACAAAAGGATGTGCATATGCCATGCACACATGCCACATGTGTTGTGCAGACCCAGCAGGCATTTACAGCCTGGAAACCTGTGAAAAGCTCCTGTATTGTTTTCCAGGAGTGTTTGTCTTATGGTTTGGGCTGGGTTCTGCTACCTGCCATGCCAGAGTTTGGAAAGATTTGACTAATTTATTTAATCACCTGATGTATGTGTATTGGAGCTAGGAGGGGAATCTTGGACGCTGATTGAATGATTGATAGGCTAACTTTTTTCATTACATCAACCTACCCACTTTCTTTCTTTCTTTCTTTCTTTCTTTCTTTCTTTCTTTCTTTCTTTCTTTCTTTCTGTCTTTCTTTCTTTCTGTCTTTCTTTCTTTCTTTCTTTCTTTCTTTCTTTCTGTCTTACTTTCAAACTTCACAGATTGAAAGGATACAGAACCTATATTTCTGGAAAAGCTACCAAATAAAAAAGTGTGAAATAGATAAAAAAAATGGTGACAAAAATAATGAGAGGCTTCTGTTTCATGGGACGAGTCAGGAGTCATTAACCCTTATTAACAAACATGGATTTAACCGGAGCTATGCTGGAATGAACGGTAATGTAACTTTCCAAACAACTCTTGTTTTCCCTTACAGAGCTAGGACTGATTTGGTCATGCCATGTATACTCCTACCTTGTGTGCAAAATTATTTATTTTGTTGTATTTCCCTATTGCAAATAAAAAACAGAGTTGTCCAGTGATTCACAGGCTCTGAAGGTGGCAGATAAGGAGTTGCTGCTACTGAAACACTCACAAACCTTTGCTTTTCTGACTACAGCTGCAAACTTTGGAAATGGAACATACTTTGCTGTTAATGCCTGCTATTCTGCCAATGACCTCTACTCTAAACCAGATGTGAATGGGAGGAAGTACATGTACTTGGCCCGAGTCCTTGTTGGAGAATACTCTCTGGGGAAAAAAGGATCAATTACTCCAGCACGAAAAAATGTTAGCAACTCTGTAGATCTGTATGATAGTTCAACTGATAACATGAGCCAGCCATCCATGTTCATAATTTTTAATGACATTCAAGCTTACCCAGAATATCTTATCACTTTTACTAAGTAAGTATTTTAATTGCAGCCACAACTGTATGTCTTTTAGCCTCTATGTAGAATAGAAACATTTGTAACAAAACACTAAACAAAAATACTAAAGAATTGTGTCAGATTAAGTTCTGACTTGATTTAAGCAATCTCTGGCAGTTTCTGATCCCCCTGAAGCTTGCTGACACTTGGAGCAGCTGAATGTATTAAGACTCGAGCACAATATTGTACTACAGTCCTCTTTTAGATTACATAGTGAGCCTTTCTACTGTATCAGCCACACAACCTTAGGGCCTTCCTAATTGCTGGTGGGGGATTGGAAGGGATAATGCAGCCACAGACTGTTCAGTGTTGCATTTCTGATGCCTTTTTATACTCTGTGACAGTCTCATAACTAGTTATGTTAGAGCAGTTTTCAATAAAGGAACCAGTTGTACTAAATAGCTTGTGTTTGTCTAAACTTCTTTGAACATTTAGCATTGGTTTTTAACCAGTGAACTTCAATGAACTTGACATTACAGATTTGGAATTACTTGTTTTTAATACAATAAACCCTGCTGCTTTGCAGCACCCCCAACTTTGAAAAGGCCTTGGCTCCTCTGAATGTATTGGGTTTGATTTACTTGGTTGTATGATTAAGAAAAAAAAAATCTTCCAATGCTTTCTTTACATAGTTAGGTTACTGTTATAATTTTACCATGGGTTGGTGTGTCCCTATGAGAAATAAGTACTGTGGGGTAACTCTGGCCAAGGGACACCTTTTCTAGGGAAGGTGGTGTGAAATAACATGAATATGCAAGTCAGGTGTCTCAGGAGAGCCATTAACTTCAGGCTGTGCATTTGCACATCCCATAACTCCTGTGACTGCACTGGCACTGCTCCCTTTGGACTTTTTTGCTTTTTACTATGTAAAAAAACTTAAGTGGTTAGAAAAACTCCATTTTCTAACCACTGAAAATTGCTGACTGTTGAGATCAAGTGTGTTGAAATCAATTTAACCTAGAGCTGGAGATCAAGGTATTGGTATGGGGGCCAAAAGTCTTACGCTTTGCTTGTACAGTGAATAAACTTATTAAGTGCTCATCACAAATACCTGTGGCCAGTGGTTCAGCAGCATGCCAGGAGCCAGAGGAGATGGCTCCAGGCTCTTCATTGCTGCTATGGGTCACTGGTACGAGGACCATTCTCTCCAGGAGCCAGTACTGCATCAGGTCTGAGCTTCCTCAGTGCCACAAGAGGACACCAAGGTGTTTTTTTACCAGTGCTTGCATTACAGGTGCCTAAGGCATGAAGCCTGGAGCAGAAACCTGTCATCCTGGGCTTTGTGCAGGCCATGAGTAACAAATGCTGCTTCTCCAAATGGGTTTATTCTAACAGGCAATGGCCAGAGGCAGGAGTGTACAAAGGGACCGAGAATCATTGAATAGCCTGAATTGGAAGGGACCCACAAGGATTATCAAATTCTAGCTCCTGGCCCTGCACAGGACATCCCGCAGAGTCACACCATCTTGCCTAAGAGAATTGTCCAAATCCTTTTTCAATGCTGTCAGGCTTGGGCCTATCACCACTTCCCTGAGGAGCCTGTTCCAGTGCACAACCACCCTCTTGTGAAGAACTTTTTCCTGATACCCAACCTAAATCTCCCCTGACACAACTCGTTCCACCCTGGTCTTGTTCCTCTGGCAGCAATGATGCAAAATGTGGAATATGTAAAAACTTCCTTAAGGAACCATGTTCTTTGGTGTTTGATCTTTGTACACTCTCAAGTTTAATCAACGAGAAAGGAGATTTCATCCAATAAACAGGTAGTTAGCAAGTAAGCACTAACAGATGTTCAGGTGTTGGAAAAACAAATTGCTTGTTAGTAGAATTGCCTTGTTAAGGTTTAGGGCTTAACATGTTTCAGTGATTTGAGACTTGGGAGGAGGTTAACAAGGCTTGGGGAAGAGGATTTACCACTGATAGTGGGCACAAAGAATGCAGAATTTACAGGCCACAAGGACATTTGGCAGAGGCCCCAGGATAAGGAAGAAACGAATAAAGACAACTCAGCAAGCATGCTGAATTGGCTCTTACTGGGCTAAGGCAGTTCTGGCAAGGGGAGATCGTGACCAGCAACTCATGAGCTTTTGACCTTTTTTTTGGTGAGCTTTCGGGTCAGCTCACCACTGACCCAAAAGAAGAGAAAGACTGAGCACGTGAACTAATTGGCATGGCAAGTAAGAGAACCACTAATCAACAGAAGATGGAATAATTAAAAAGAGAAGTAAGTAGCCAATGAATGTTAATGCCACTTATTCCTAACGTTTTGGTAGTCACCATGCCAGCCCCATCTCTGCGCAGGACTGTAGATGGATCAAATGCCTCGATTCTGTGTGAGGGTTGGCCTCTTGCACAGAACTTCTCGTGGGACAGCAGCGAGAGCGGCTGCCAGCTGCCGGCAGCAGGGCAAGCAGGGCGTTTGATAAGGCGAGGGGGATGCTTTGGGTGCTCTAGGGGGAGAGAAGCGTAAGGGTGCAGGTGTGAAGCTGCAACGGAGCGGGCCGAGGAGGCTCCCGGGAGAGGCGGCGGAGGAGACGTAGAAGGTGCGTGTCTGCCGGGAAAGCCGCGCCCAGCCCTGCGGGGAAGCGAAAGCGAAAGGCGGAGGGGAGCGGCGCGGCGGGCATGGCGGGGCAGCGGCCGTGCGCCTTCCCGCTGCTGGTGCGGGGGGACTGGGGCCCCGCCGAGCCGCCGCCCGCGCTCAGGAAGAAGCTGCTCTGCTACTTCCAGAGCCAGAGGCGCTCGGGCGGCGGCGAGTGCGAGCTGCGAGCCGGGAGCGACAGCGGGGCCGGGCACATCCTCGTCTGCTTCGCCTGCCCCGAGGGTGAGCGGCCGGGCCGGGCGGGAGGGGTGCATTAGCGTACGGGCTGTCCGCGGGGGTGTTGGGGTCGGAAATCACAAGTCTAAGCTTTCTGCGAGTTAAAAGATACATACTTAGTTGTTGCATACGATGTAATAATATGTCCCGTCTGGTACGTGATGTGCAGTATCTGTAGTATATAATATGTCGTATGCACCCCACCCCCCGTGCAATATAGAATAGACAGTATCTAAACTTGGTGTGGTTCTTGCGTATGTCTTGTATAGGTCCAAAAGTTGGACTCGATCTTTGTGGGTCCCTTCTAACTCAGAATATGATATTTACTTTTATATATATATATATATATATATATTTGCTTAGATTTGGTGCTTAGCACTTAGCCTCTAAATTGTGTTTGGCGTAAAGGCGTAAAGTCTGTAAGCGAATAAATATATCCTAGGATGCACAGTAGTATTCTCTAAACTGCACACGGAATAATAAATCTTATGTTAGCCTAACAATTAGATTATTTACAGATATGTATGAAAAATATGACATCTGTAGCATGTACGTATTTTTGTAAACTTGCAGCAAGCTGGAAAGGATTTAATTGCACTTATGTTCAGAAACACACAGATACCTATGTACATTTTTTCCTTTTCTTGCCTTAACATGCTTCTCAGTTGCTGGCTCTCCCTGCTGGTGAGTTCAGGACATACAGCCCCAGGCCAGGTCATTTCGGCACTGTGGAAGAGGATGTTCAAGGCGTGGGAAGCCGGTACCGGGACTCTCCGGGTACCACCATGAAACCCGTGACAGAGCCGAGTTTTGCGTGTCTGGCAGTTTTTC